CCTACGTTCAAATAGTGTCGAGAAATGTGGTTTCAATATTGAAAATCTTTGTGATAGCCTTAAAATATAGTTTCATATTTATTTATAAAATTTAAAGCTGCAAAAATAGTGTAGATCGATGTATCTATGAAAATCTTGAAAATTAACGGTCCAAAAATACGTTACAAAATATACTATTTTCAAAACTCGCAATCCATTTTTTTCACTTGTCCATTCATCTTGATGTCGAGATGATCGATTTGAAGATATTTGGGCATCAAAATAACCTCTTCTAGTGAAATTTTTGATATAGGCTCAAATTTGATGGTTTAAAGCCTCAACTCTATATAAATTTTTCCATATATATATCCCCCATAAAAAACCAAAAGAAAAAAAAAAAACTAGAGCTACTTTCTCATTGCAATAGTACGATCTATGACAAGGGTAGAAAGAGAGAAGCCAAAAAAAAACCAAAAACTAGAGCTATTTTCTCGTTGGAATAGTACGATCAATGACAAGGGTAGAAAGAGAGAAGCCAAAAGACTTAGAGATCTTATTTGATCCTCTCCTATACTCCAAAGCCCTAAACATTGTCTCTATCAAAACACAACCATAGCAAGAAATTGCTGAACAAGAAACACAAATACTATGGCAAGAAATTGTAGAAAGAAATCATCTCTTCTTTTTTTGGACTTTGGTAGAAAGCGAGCTTAAATGCTTCAATTTGATTTTTGGTGTAGACAAAAAAGGATTTTGGAAATGATAAGGACTAAAGAGTTTTTGGAAAATTAATATAGGGGCATGATTAATGGAAGAGGTTTTATATAAGGCGCCGTCTTTATTCCGTCGAAGCATAACTTTAAATTTTGCCTGGAGATGTCATTCGAGCGTCAAAAATCTAAAGGGACTTAAAAATGTATTTCTCCCTAGCTCTAAAACATTTAAGAATGGTAGAGATCATGTATAAACACCAAAAAATATTGAAAATAAGCGGTCTAAATAATTATTACAAGATACATCATTTTTAGGACTTGAAATTCTTTGTTTTTCATATCTATACATTTCAAGGTCGGGATAATCAATTCGAGGGTTTTCCAACATCAGAATACTCTAAACTTAAATATTTTTGCGGTGCACCTTATTTCAATATTACAAGGTTGACACTTTGTATAAACTTTTCCCTCCTTTTTTAGGATTTTTTTTTACTGTTTTTTTAGATTTTAATTTAAGAAAATAATAAATATGAATATGAAAATTTCAATTTTTCTTAAATATTTTATTTTTAAAATTACCATTGAAAATTTTATCCTTACACAATAGGATAATAAAGTCCTAGAACCTAAATAAAACAGAATTATTTCAGCCTATATATAATAATAGACGTAGATGGATTATGAAATCATTTCATTTTTCTAATTTAAAAAAATGACAATATAATATTTATTTCTAAATAACAGATTTTATTATTCAAAATATTTTTCAAGTCCATATAGTCCACAAATTATACATAATGTGTAGTCCATACAGAGCATATAATCTATATAAACTCTAGAAGACGGGCCGGACCATGCATGTGTGGCCCAGGCTGGGCACGGTACCAGACGATAGTTCATACCCATCCCTAGCCAGCAAGCCAAATACAATGGGCGCGGCTTACCTGGGATGTCTAGCCAGCCCACTGAATTCCAGGCCTGCACTTCGACCATCAAATATTCAACAGAGATGCTTCTATCTGGCTTTTGCTTATGCCGGATGGACATATCCTACTGGACCTACTTGTAAAATCCGAAATATTGGGCAATTACAAAAAGAACATGGTTTGCCAAAGAAACACCTTATTCTTGTTATCAAACCAAACAAGAAGACTTGGAATTTAAGGTAAAATGAATAGGTCCAATATAGACTGAGACAAGAACTAGGTATAGATCCACCTAACGAGCATCACAAAACCGATGGCACTTTATTGAGCACTCATAATATTTAACGAGCAATCCACATTCGAAAACCGTGGACAAATCTGGACCCGATACTGGGTGAGAGTTGAGACCAACTGGCTTGACTAGTTCTTTGAAGAGGGATGGGGCCAGGAACCATCTCAACTGATCATCCTTTTCGACCGACCTCACCCTATTGGTTAAAAGTAACTTGTTTTGCATGGCTGTTTTAAGTACTGGGAAAAACAAAGGGATATGGGGTGTGAAGTAGGATTACTGACCGCCCACATTGCTGGAATAAAAGAGATTTCTCAACTGAAAAATCACACAACCAGCCAAGCCAACCAAAAGATAGATGCATGCATCCATATTATCTGTATATTCAAATTTCAAAAAATCACTTCAATATAAGAAATTAGGTCCTTTGTAAACCATCTGACCCATAAAACTAACAATTGCATCCACATGTAAACACATGTTTTCAGAAAATCATTTACTTATAAGATATTAGGCTTTTGTGCACCATCCGAACGATAAACATTAACCTGTGCATGCACATGCACAACACAAGCTTTTTTGATAGACAACCAAAACCACTCTGAACCACTTCCAACAAGTGAACCCACCGATCTGTCTAGACTGACAATGCCAATTTAGTAACTCATCTGATTTACTAAAACTTGATTTGGACATAAGAAAATCATATATTCCTTTGAACAAGACATACATACAAGAACCTTCTTCGAACAAGACATATCTTCTCACTGCTCAGTAGCATACAAGAACCTTCTTCTATCATATTGTAATTGTAAAATCCTTTTGCCCTTCATCAAGAACTCTTGCCTCTAAGATGAACCTGATGAGTTGCCATTTCAGGAAAAGTATTTCTCAAATAAGTCTGCTGAAAGGACCAAATAAAATGATCCTAATTGCAATGCAAATGTATTAAGAAGGTGGACGTGCCACATTCTTACAAAGACAACTGTGTTTCCTTATTTGGGTGAATTACTCTTGAGCGACATGGTTCTGAGTTCTAACTCACCTCAAAAATGGAAAACATACAAACGTATACTACAAGACAACATAACAAGAGTTGATGCCAAAGTTTGGTGAAATTGAAATTTCTCTAAGATGTCATGTAACATCCCAAAATACAAATGTTTGTGCTATCGCCACTTTCAGCCAAATCAATCAATTTTTCAGACAAAAAATTCATACCAATTTCAAGATGGATTTGGAATCAATTATTTTGGAAGGACTGAAAGCTGCCTGAATTGACTGGAAAAACAAAAGATTAAATATGCTTAATCATCTGCTGCATACACTGTGGAGAGCATACTTTAGTAGATAAAGATAGTAGATAAAGATGAAGTACACATCATAGCTTGGGTAGTGGGAGTAACTGAAACTCAGGCAAACTCTACTGAGTATTAAAGTATGTGTAGGACAGATCCGGTATCAAGTCATTGTATGTAATGTAGCATTTACCAATAAGATGGCATGTAATATCAGTTAAATTATGAATACCCAGGTCCAAGGCTGAAAGCAGCAACTAGAGGGACTGAACCTAAGGTACAAGAGATTGAAGAAGCATGCTTAAATTGGGTTCCACTGGGAGTGTCAAGAAGATTCCATGTGCCCAAAAAGTTTGCAATGACACCACTGTGTAGTATCAGTGTAGAAAAGGCAGCCTGCCTCACAGCATAGGCACCGCCTCGAGGTGGGAAGTGCATGGGCACCCCCATCTAGGCTGCATAGGGGGGCGCCTTGCACATCAACCTAGGCCCACCTTGGTCATCCATGGCCTGAAGGCAGAAATTGTCCTCGGGCAATGGGCAGGGGCAGAAACATATTTTTTCCCCTTTTAAGGAGGAGAAATATAGCCCCCCCGGGTGGGGGGTATTCTAACCTCCACCCCCCCAAATCTTAAATCCAACTACTTTAGATAGGATTTGTTGCGAACAATCAGTATTATCTTTTACTTTTTATGATTGTTAGGTTATTACGTCTTCCATTCACTGTATTACACACACACACATTCATGTACGTTTTTCTGTGCACATATGTAAATTTATGTGGGTTGCCTCAAAGCTGAAACACCACATCACACCTGCCCGGTCAGCGCTCCTCTTCCCCATCGTGGCCTAGGAACCATATAGCTTTCTTCAACACTAAATAGTATACATATTGGAAATCTGTGAAAAGGGAGTACCAAAAATGGTACTTTGTTGATATAACACTTGTTGCCACCAGTCTGTAGGTAAGATGGAAATTCTCCTGATCTCTCTCTGAAAATATACATTCAAACACCACAAACACTTTTCTAGATGTCACAAGGATAAAGACTTTTAAATCCACATCATTTTGACTTTGCTTCTAACCTTGACATGTGGGAACAATCAAACACACAAAAATGAAACCAATGGCCCAGTCCAACTAAACATGAATAAGCAATCTTAAATCTGCAATAGGAAAATCAGCAGAACATACAAACCAATAACTTCCCATGGTTAAGTTTCTCAAAGACAAAAATTCCCACAAACACACACACACACACACATTCATGTGCATTTTGCTGTGCATATATGTAAATGTATGTGGGGTGCCTCAAAACTGAAACAGCACATCACGCCTGCCCGGTCAGCGCTCCTCTACCCCATTGTGGCCTAGGAACCATATAGCTTTCTTCAACATTAAATAGTAAACATATTGGAAATCTTTGAAAAGGGAGTACCAAAAATGGCGCTTTGTGATATAACACTTGTTGCCACCAGTCTGTAGGTAAGATGGAAATTCTCCTGATCTCTCTCTAAAAATATATATTCAAACACTTTTCTAGATGTCATAAGGATAAAGAATTTTATATCCACATCATTTTGGATTTGCTTGTAACCTTGACATGTGGGAACAATCAAACACACAAAAATGAAACCAATGGCCCAGTCCCGCTGAACATACAAACCATTAATAAGCAATCTCAAATCTGCAATAGGAAAATCAGCAGAACATACAAACCAATAACTTCCCATGGTTAAGTTTCTCAAAGACAAAAATTCCCTCCCCGGAAGCTCCACAAGGAAAGGAATGCTTAACAGAATACTTAACAGGGTGAATTTAGTCAAGAATCATTCATATGCTCGAATCCCTGTAATCAATTAGGCCATCTAAATTAGTGCAGTAACATTTATTATCACAATTCAAACCAAAAATGTATTTCTCCCATAAGCTGAATGGTGAAGTTATTTACCATTCAAGGGCATGTATATGATGGATGTGCTAAGAAGCAACTAAATGTTTCTGAAGAACCAATTCAAAGTCCTCTAACCTGCCAATATAGAGAAGAATCTCAAGGCCATGAATTCATTTCTATATCGTTCATCAAGAAATGAGTTGGAATGTTGGATGCATACCTAACGTCACTCAAGTTAGGGTAAATTGCTATTGCATCTTTGAAATCCTGCTTGAATTGATACAATGTCAGACACGTCTCATAATACAATCATAAGGTATTTCCTTTATGATTGGGTAATCAAGCATAACATAATGGACAAAATCTTGCAACTCACTTGGTTAGCTGTTGAAGATGTATAAGTAACTACGCAAGCCATACTGGCTCTTGTTGCAGCCTGGAAAAATTAGAGATGATGCATAAACTTCCTTATACTTCAGTTGACCATTACAAGGAACAAAGTTCTACCTGTAAGCCGATGACACTGTCCTCTACAACCAGACAATTATTGGCTGGTACTCTCATTCGCTGTTTATGGAAGAAGTAAGATTTAGTGGTGCTAGAAATAGCTAACCATGTTGGATATAACAGCCAGTTTACCTTCGTTAGAGTAATCACCTTTGCAGCTGTAATATAAATTGATGGGTCAGGCTTCTTTTCCTTCACATCATCACCTGCAATCACACCAAATGATGGCGCAAAGTGTTCATGCTATTTAATTTCACAGTACGTACATATTTGCTCCCAGTGCAAGATGAGAGTTAGCTCCCTAGATATAACACCCACCAAATTGAAGAAACCCTCAGATAATTGGAGTCAACAGATTCACATAACAAAACCACATGACCTTGCTACATCATGTAGAGATTGTTAAGGATCATGTATTATTTTAGATATATTATATAATATCATAAAAGGTGAGATGGTGCATTACATATTTATCCAACCTTGCTATGCAAGTTATGTAGCCTGTCTAGTTCCAATAACGTTTTGGGGATCTCTTGTTGCCTGATTTCTAGTGGATTTCCAAGTATCAGATTTGACATCTTGTGGGTTTATTTCTAACTATCCATAAGCATTTCTCGGTGATGGTTCCCAAATATGAGTTTTTTATTACAAATCGATTCTTTTGGGTTTTCTTTTGATTCAATCTGAGTTTTGATCCCAAATCGAGGGTGCTCACATTGATGGGACATGGATTTTGAGAAGGGAGATGTGTTGGCTGTAAAACTTCATGAGGAAAGCTATCCCGATTGGAGTTTCCATATTCAGTTTTTATTGAAGGAGCAGGTTTGTGGGGGTATGTTGATGGAATTGAATCACAACCGATTCCATCCAATTCCAAGAAGAAACCCACAATGGAAGATAAACAATGCTAGGATTGTCTCATGAACCGTAAGCTTTGTGGATATGAACATTGGAAGGCCAATGAGAGGGTTTTGCACTACAAAGAATGCGAGAATATCTAGAAAAAATTTATCAGCAATCAAACTTTGCAAGCAATTTCAAATTGAGTATGATATGTTTACCAATGGATAGGGGGGAAGAATATCCAGGAATATTATGATGGTTTTATGAACTTGTGAACATAGTAAGGACAAGTATGGATGCTATCACTAATACATGTTGTATTAAAAGTTTAAAGTAGATACATTTTTTTAATATTGAAAGGAAGTTGATGTAGCTTTTGATGAAATTACACCAGAATATGACATCATTCAAGTCAATATCTTGAATCGTGAAATACTGCCCAACATGGACGTGATTCTTAGTGAGGTACTTTGTAAGGACATGAGAATTACACCACAAGTCATCACTCAATGAAAAACGGAATATAGAATCTCTCTGTGGCACAACGGAGTATAGGAAAGTCATTACAAAAGAAGCGATCTTTGGTGTAGGGCTAACAATGGGCCGAGCCAAGGCCACTCAATCTTGCCCCTAGCCCGGCCCTAATCCCAGCTTAGTTGGCCCTAGCCCAGCCTGGCCCTGACCGGGCTGAAAAGGCCCTGCCCTATGCCGAGATCTAGCTCTGTTAAGGCCAGGCTAGACCAAATACAACCCAAATAAAAAACAGAAAAGAAAAAAAGAGGTGAGGAAAACAGTCAAGCCAAGCCAAATGGGCTGGCCTTGTTGTGGCCCTGGCCCTAGCCCAGCCATTGGGACCACGATAGCCATACCCTCCAGCCACATCTTGTGACTTAGGCCCTAGTTTTTAGGGCCGGGCTGCCTAGCACATTGCCATGACTACTTCAGTGCAACATTATGAACATAAAGAATAAGGCTCTATCGCATCCTATTGTAAGAAAAAAAATAAGTGTTTATTTGCAAACGCTCTAGACACATTCCCATAGAGTGTTGCAACTATCTTTAGTGAGGTAACCGCTCGTCAAATTTGAGGAAACCTACTTACAAGGCATACTAGGCTTCCAATGATACATCCGAGGGATTGATGGTGGATATGAGATCAAAGGTTGCTCCATCAAACATTGTTCATACCCCAAGCATGACAAGGCCTCAAACAGCATCTATATTAAATGATATTTCATAGTTGGTATTAAAACTCTGTCTACAGCTATCTCTTTTATATGCTGCCACAAGCATGTCTAGTAAAGACTCTCACCTATCCCCTAGTATGAAACCCTTTAGTGATTCGAGTGCCTTCAATCATATGATTGGAGTGGGCACAAGTCCATCATCTGTTAAACCATACCTAAGCAGAAGTCAGATTCTCACAGCTAATGGGAAGAAATTGGATATTATGGTACTGATAATCTTTCTATGTGTCTTCTCTGTGCACCCTTTTGTTTACCTATTGTTCTCCTAGTTCCCAAGTTAATTGCTAATCTTATCTTTGTGGGCCACCTTCTTGATGATGGTTACACTAATTCACTTTTCTGGTTATGGTTGTGTGATACAAGACTTACGCACAGGGACTGTGAAAAAGTAGGGATATAGAACTGGTCATTTGTTTGCCTTGGAGTTTGAGAAGCTAGACTATGATGCTTGTTCTTTTGCTCCTTCTTATTCAGATTCTTTGTCTTTAACAAACAACGGCATTCAGGCACTTGGTCATCCGAATGCAAATGAATTAAATAGTTTGTTTCATTCTAGTTACCTGACTAATGAAGGCCTGTTCAAAATTCTGTCAATAAATGTTGTTTTAGTCAGTCATGGAATAAAATTGTCAGTGCCTTTTCTTACTTGAGTAGATACTGCAACTACACCATTTCATATTATTCATTGTAATGTTTAGGGTCCAGCTCCAACTTTAATTAGAATGGAACAAGTATTTTGATTTGCTTATTGATAATTGGACATATCTAGTCTATGACAACTTCCTTGGATCCCAGTCCCACAGACACCTAAAATTGGAGGATGAAACCTAAAATTGACATATCTGGTCTATGACAACTTCCTTGGCTCCCAGTCCCACAGGCACACTGAATCCTCTCTGTCTATGATTCTGTCACCAGTTCATACTTATAGGATCAACGATTCATTCTATTAACCTTACGATCACCCAGATGATCACCTATAGGCCTGAATAACCGGTGTAACTTTTCCATAACATAGTCATGCATAACCAAGAGAAGTGAACGACAATGCGAATATCAGAAATAAAGGTCACTAAACATACCAGCAAGGAAACAATCAAGGCCCTGGAAGCGATCCTGCAACATTATTAAACATGAAACTAAGTTCATTTCTTTCGCAATAAAATAAGAATATGCTAAGCTTGATTATAAATATTAGACGTGAGAAAAGACTTACCATTCCTAAAAGATTTTCAAGACAGAGTACTACTGAGCTTTTAGTGGCTGCGGAGCACACAGCAAGACAAATACCCTAAAACAGAAGATTATCAGTTCGCTGAAAGACATAAAGCTAAAAAACTTTAAGTTGCACCACATTCGCAATCAATGTCACACACTTCCCTTTATTTTTATATTTTTTTAGGGAAAATTATAGATACCCCCCAAATTCAACTTTCTAGACATCCTACTCCCCAAAACGTTTTGTATCCCACCCTAAACCCCAATACTATTTTTCTTTATATTTAGCACCCCAAGTCAAACAATCAATAATTTAGGACAAAAAAGCCCGTACTTTTTATTTTCTCCCCCTTTTGGAGCACGTGACTCTCTCTACCCACTCTCTGCCTCTCTCTTTCCCCCCAAAGTAAAAACTCATTCTTTCACTTTCTCTCTCTTAACCCATTCTTTCTCTTTCTCTCTCTCTTCTCTTTCTCTCTCTCTTTCTCTCTCTGGGCCGAAGTTTTTTGCGGTTTGATACAAAAAAATGCCGGACCGCAAAAACAATTTCGGTCAGGCACCTAGTGTGCCGGACCGCATTGAGTTCCAGTAACGTGGCTTGTAAGTGGTCTAGCACCCAATGTGCCGGACCGGGTAGATTTGAGTTAAGTGCCTGACCGAAATTCTTTTGCGGTCCGGCACATTTTTTTTCGGTCCAGCACCCCATGTGTCGGACCACATTATTAGAGAATGAGAGAGAAAGAGAGAGAGAGAGAGAGAGAGAGAGAGAGAGAGAGAGAGAAGATATATGGTTAGAGAAGAAGA